ATTTAATATTTATTTTCTACAACATCATATCATATGAAAGTATGACACTATGCAAAAGGAATGAATCTTAAAGAAACTATTCCAATTGTAAATAGATTATCTTGGTCAGGTTTGGTCCCTTTGTCTCACTGCCATTTCCTTCCCAAATGATTTCACTGCATATTTATACCATTTCATCTCATAAGTAGTTATCTGATCCATATATTAGTATTTGGAACTACCTTCTCCAGACACTTATTAGATTTCTTCATAATTCCATCCTTACTCTTAATGTCTAGGTCAGCATAAGAAAACCTTGGGTTTCAAATGGTACTACCTTCTCCAGACACTTATTAAATTTCTCCATAATTCCATCCTTACTCTTAATATCTAGGTCAACAAAAGAAAACCTTGGGTTTCAAATGGTACCCTGCTGCATGCAATGGTTGATAAAGCTACATTACCCATTTTTTCTCTATACCCTCCCATATTTTATCTATACCCTTCCATATTACGTCATAGTTCTCATCAATACCCAAAGACAACTCTCTCTCTCTCTCTCTCTCTGTCTCTCAGAACCTCCTGTTATGCATCATATGTAAAGCCCATAGCGGACTTGACCTCACTATCAACCGTGAGCAATATTTTGATTCATTATCAACATCATCAGAGCCTTTTTACAACTAATTGGGGTCAACTGCATGAATCTTGCTCTATCAAGGGCTATACCCTCAGTGAGGCCATAAGTCCCCATATCTTTTCTCATTGCTTCCAACTATGACCTTTTGGGTGTACCCCTTGCTCTTTTGAGCCTTCCACTTGAACTAACTCGCACGTCCTATCAGGTGCTGTATTGGGTCTGCGCTGCACATTGCCCAGCCTATCGAAGCCTACTTTCTTTCATCTTATTGCCTATTGGTGCCACACCTAAATTCTCTCAAATGTATTCATGTCGCATTCTACCCCTTCTTGTCTTACTTGTCATACATGTCAGTATCCTCATCTCTACTACATTCATTCTATGGATATGTTGTTTCTTGATCATCCAACATTCTGCCCCATAAAGCAAAGCTGGTCTCACAACTGTCTTATAGAACTTGTCCTTCAACTTCATTGGTATGTGGCTATCACATAAAACTCTGGTTGCACATCTCTATGTTGCCCACCCAGTTCTAATTTTATGTGCGACATCTTCCTTAATTTCTCCATTTCCCCGGATTGTCGATCCAAGATATTGAAAGTGCGCTCTTTTCGGTATTTTTTGGCCATCAATCTTAACTGCTTTCTTGTCTCTACTCCTATTATTACTAAGCTTGGATTCCATATACTCTGTTTTAGTTTGGCTAAATTTAAAACCTTTAGATTCTAGAGCATCCCTTCAAAGTTCTAACTTTGTGTTGACATTGCTTCGGGTCTCATCAATCAAAACTATATCATGCCCAATACTTTGATTAAGGTAAGAAATACTTTAAGTGAGTACTTCACCCACCGCCCAATGCCTAATACCAAAAAAAAAAAGAAAAGAAAAAAGTAAAAATATAATGTGCCCTCCTCCGTTTAGGATCCATAGCCTACTTGCATTTAGATCAATATTCTGTAGCAAACATCATTCTCAATTGATTTCTCTTTTCACATATGTCATGCAGACATAGAAAGAGATGGCAAATCTCGTTACACTGTGCCTCACTAGATCCCTCTTCTTAGTGAACTTGCATATGTTGCTAAGGGTAAGGGTGTGATTATAAATGAAGAATTTTACGGCTTAGCCCTAATAATTGTACCCTTTACCCTAGGCATTTCACGAATAGCCTCAAGCATGTGGTCTATGCATTGTGCTGCACATGGTGTCCAAATGATATAAGGCTGCTTTTGGTGCAATAAGTTAGTAGTAGTCAAATTGGCTGCAACATCATTAGTTACCAGTACCACTGGAATAACATGCCTTTTCCCAACCTCTTTAAAACCCTTGTCAATAAAAGAAAAAATGAATTGTGTATCATGTATATCATCATATGCATCAATGACCCCACAAACGCTGTCCTTAAAGGACATTTCATCATTATGTTCATCACATTCGTATTGCTACTATCATTCCATGTATCTATCATAATTGTGACCTCATTTTGAACCCACACATCCTTTTGGGTCTTAAGGTACTCCTTCATAAATTAGACCTCCTCTTGAAGCAATGGCTTCTTAAGCTCTCATATGGGGTTCTCTCCAAGGTCTGGTCCAACATCGCACCTCCAAAAGTACAGGCATTCAGTTGAATTGGTTGCTCCTCCCAAAGAGCGCTCACCGTAGACCAGCTCCAAAGGAAAGGGATTCCTATCCCCAATACGTGTGCGTTGTGTCTTTGTGAGGAGGAAACAAACCCCCATCTTTTCATTCATTGCAGCCTTGCTTTCGACCTTTGGAGTCAAATTTATCAGTTGTTTAGCCTCTCATGGGTCTCCTCGCCCTCCATTCCAGCTCTCATCTCTTTTTCTCTCGTATCTCATTGGCCAAAGGCGGGTAGAATTCTCTGGAGGGCTTCTATTGCAGCAACTATTTGGGTACTTTGGCTCGAAAGAAATTTCAAGATCTTCTAAGGCCTCAAAAGCAAGGTTCCTACGCTTTTCCAAAAGGTTACTTCCTTAGCAATCTTTTGGGCCTTCAACCATAGGGCCTTTGCCGGGGTTTCGACAAATACTTTCCTTAGTCAATGGGAATATATCCTCCACCTCAAACCCCATCGGGTCTCAATGCCCGACAACTGGCTGCCTCCATCGGAAGGCATCATCAAGCTAAATTTCGACGGATGCTCCCTGGGAAACCCAGGCCCAACAGGAGCTAGAGGAGTTTTTTCTAGATCACAGTGGCAATATTCTGGCCACTTTCTCCGAGCACTTAGGCCATGCAGACTCTCAATATACTGAATATATGGCACTATTATTGGGACTAAAGATATTCGACCACTCTGCGGATCACAGTTCTTCGTCGAGGGGGATGCCACAAACATAATATCCTGGGCTACTGGAAATTCCACCCCTCCTTAGTATCTCTCCTCAATTTTTGACGAAATTGCACATACTTGCAGGGATATAGTCATCTCTTGGATCCATATCTGGAGGACGTCAGATGACTTCGCAGATCTTCTAGCTAAGGACGGTGGGCCCAAGCAGATGTCCCTGTACAGTTGCGACTTTTTGTGATGCTGCATCGTTCATACTCTCGTTGCTGGTCCATCTCCTTTTTTGCTCTGGACTTCTGCGGGTGCATATTTTTTTGCTTTTTTTGTATGCAGCTCTTGAAATTGAGCAAGTCTTATACGCCCCAATTTTTTGTATAGGGTCACAGTGTAGTGACCTAATTTTTTGGACGAGAGACCCAGCTTTTGGGTACTCTCGAGATGTACTCCTGTACACCGCTCCTTTTCTAGTAATACAATCGTTAACCTCATTCAAAAAAAAAAAAAGCTCTCATATGGGGTTGGGCCCTTCAACACTGACCCAAATTGGCCAATGGCTTCCATCAATTTATGGAAGCTGCATAAGCAAGTTGCATTAAAAGCAATATCCGCATTATAAAATAACATGCAATATGTTGGTTTACTTGGGCTTGATCTTCCTTCTTGAACCTGTTTTCTAGTGCCAAGGCATTTGTTGGCTTCTTCATGAGAGGCTTCTTCACCTATTTTCTGTCATATAACTTCGAGAGGAAGCTACTCATCATCATCCTCATTATCACCAAAAACATTCACTCTTGACCTCAGCTCTGCGATCTTGTGTCCTTTTTATTGCTTTCTTACTCTTTCTGCATTCATATAGTCAAGAATCTCCTTCCTATCTTCTCTTGGAACTTCCTTACATGGGGCATCATCCCCCGTAATACTAGCAAGGTGTTTCTTAAATCGATTAATCACTACACTTATATCTTTACCACAAAAGTTGCACCGGGTTTTGTTCTTATCATTTTTATCTAAGCAAGAGGTCCCCACTCCTATTAGAATCTGTGAAAGATATTTGAATGGAAGGAAGAAATCTTAAATGCAAAGATAAAAGACTTACCTTAGTTGCCGATCTTCAAAGTTTTGGATGAAAATGGACCTCTTAAGCCATCGTAAAGTTCCCGTAATAACTTCTCTTTTGTGCTTCACAATGAACCCAATAAAAAAGGGTAAAGTTTGAGATGATTTCTCGTAGTTGTAAGATTCTTCAATCTTAAAAAAGGATTTGCAAAATTATCATTTCTTGAACAAATCTCAGACCTTAAGGACCGTGAAAGCTATCCAGTTTGACATTCTAACTTGTATTTTATGATGTATATGTATACATTATATCCATATTTAACTCCATTGGTTTTTTGGTTCTTTTTTTAGATTGCGGATCCAGCCAATCCGGATTGGGATCGGTGGGTGGTCGATCCCAACAATTTGTTTTTTAAAACTTTGTTTAAAACTGTAAGAGGACCCCAAGCATATCTTTCTCATCTAGATTGATGTGAAAAATATCGCAAACTTTAATGCTGAAGCATCATCAAGAATCTAAACATGCTCAAACATAATTGAAGACCACATTGGTCTTTCTTCCACATAAACTGAAAATCTATGGGTTGGGTTGGGACTTGGGAGACTGTATCCTGGAAACCAATAAAAAGGGACTTCTGAACTGAAATGCATTTTGAAGTGTCCAATTGAGAACCTTCGGAAGCTGCTTCAAATGGCTAGCAACACCTGAAGCCAGTCCTATCCAATTTACAATGTTTTCTTGGTCTATTGATGGCGCATGCTTCTTTTGTGATATGCCATAATGTGTTCCTAATTTAGGTTCGTATGATTGAAAATGCACGTCTCGATTTTAGTTCGTACTTATGTATAAATAAGCACCATTTCCTTTGTGCAAATGATCTCTCCTGTGTTTTTTAAATAGTTTTTGTTCTATAATGAATTGTCAAAGTGTGCGGTTTATTTACTTTCATGTGCTGGTCAGAGTTTATAATGGAAGGCAGTAACCTTTTATATTGAGTTCTACTATTTGTAGGTTGAAAAAGCTATTTTGATTTTGAAGAAAATGCATAAAAAGCTTGAAATGCAGCCCTCTACCTTGTCATATGAAAAACTCATCCAATACTGCTGTGAGTCATGCAAGGTATGATCTGTTTCGGCTTTAAACTCATAGTAATCATATTGTTGTTTAGTTAGCTGGTTGGTACTACAGAAAAAATGAAACTGAGATTATATTTTTGAATTTTTGCTTGCCCTGATTATTCTTAATTCTTCACGTTATGTCATGGGCAGGTTGCGCTTGATATTAGGATCTTCTAGCAATGACAATATAATGCAAATTTGTCTTTACTTGTATAAAAATGATACTGAATTTATTGTTCTATTCCTTCGTTCTTTTGCTAGGAATATGTATCAAGTTTTACTGCAATATATATATATATATATATATATATATATATATTATTGGTTTTGTCTTCTTTTTTCTTGTGATAATTTGGTGAATTATCACTTCAAAAATCTGATATGATGCCACAGTTCTGACTGATTTAAAGTGATTCTAGCCCTAGTGACTGTCAGACCAGGATGGTTTTATGTCAGACTCGGGCAAATTCCTGTGTCTGGAGTTCAGTGGGATTCTCTGAGTCTGACAATTAAGTTAAAATACAAGGGGGGCTGGAGTCCTATCTTACGCTTCCTTTTTTTTCCATCTTTGTATGCAAAGCGTCATTGGCCCTGGAAATGTTATTTTCGGGGGAAAGTTTTACATCCTCTAACAGATTGAAACCTTGGATTCAACAGAAAGGAATATAAGAGTCTCATAAATCCGAGATTTTGATGATTTAGGGGTGTCCAAAAACTTCAAGATCTCAGGATCAATTAGATCTGGAATTCCCTCAATATTGTTGAGGGGTTTCTGAATGATAAATTGATGTTTAAATTAGTCCTATAGTGCTGCATTTACAGCTGGCTGCTTCTCTATTCATTTGTTTGCATATACAATTCTGTCTTGCCTCATTTTGAAAAGATAAGTAGATGTTTGTCATATAAGGTTTTTAAGTGTCCCCATCACAGGTACATGCAGCACTTGATGTGGTCGAGCAGATGTGTCAATCAGGGGTGACCCTATCTGTTGAAACTCTTCATCCAATATTGTGTGCTAGTGAGCAGAGCTGTGAGCATGATTTGGTAGATTTGAATGCTTCCTTTATGTCATCCCTTTGTTCTGTTGTAGTTATATTTGTTATACAAATACCTTTTTATTATGGCTATGTATATCTTTTGTAATATCTTCTGTTCTGCATTATTGTATTGATTGTTAGCTCTTTTTAATATCTGTCAGCTGCATCAAGATATTTATTGTCTCTCTTCTGAATGTTAGTGTTAAAAGGTTAGAACATCTGTAAGGGAAACTCTAAATCGATTGCAGCAGAATATTTGGCAAGAAGAATTGTCTTTCATGAAATAAGTAGCATACTCTATATATATTTGTTTCATCTCATGAATAAAATATGCAAATTTTAGTCTAACGTTTCAAGCCACGAGTCATGACATATATTGACAGAATGAAACCTTGTTGGTATTGTTGCTGCAGTTGACTTGGGAAGTCAGGTTGATGTTTCCTAATTTCCAACTATGCATGTTTGGAAATATTGTCTTTGTTTCATGCAGAGTGACGGTGTTTCCAGAAGTAGTTTCATTGATATTCCATGGGCACAATTTTATTGTGCACATGAGAAAATTTATATATAAGAAAAAATTTGAAAACTTAAAACTTGAAGTTAACACAGGAGTTAGCTTTATTTGAACCTTGTCGAGTCTCCAGAGTTCACTGATTTGATCATTACACAAAGGAAAAAATAAAACAAGTTACTGTTACAATATATAATGGAGCACTTAATATTCAGCTGCTACTTACACTTTACTTTGTAAGGGGATTTCTTATAACCCCATTTTGATTACGGTCTGTTGACCCATTTTTTACCAGTAGTCCTAGGTTTTAGGCACTCCTGGATTGCCTTTTCTTCTCTTGTATCTATCTTTCTTTATCAATACAAATGTTAACAGTTATCAAAAAAAAAAAATATTCAGCTGCTACTAGTCCTCTCTATAGAAAGCAACTAAACTAAGGGGTTGACTCTAGATTAGCTCAGGTTTTCTGAACAATGATATCTAATAAATAGGTTCTCAATACTGATTGTGGTGGGAGGGAATGGACTGCTCATACAGGTAAACATTCCTGTTATGTTATGCGGTAATGGGCTCAGCATTGTCAGGTTAATCTTTATAATATGGCATATACCATTTGGTTTCAATTAAGCAAATGACATTTTGCATATAGAATTACATTGTGAGAAAGTTTCCTTAAAAAAAATTACACTGTGAGAAAGCGAGAATTCTTCTCTTTAAAACTTTCATGTGCATGGTAACCTTCGGAACTATGCTGAGTATCTTGTACTGCATGTACCACCCTCAAAAAAAAAATTAATGTATTATGTAGCATAGTGTAGTCATTCAAGCTTCATTCTCTAGTTGAGTGTATAAGGTGTGTTCTCATTTTCCTAGGGTCATCTGGGTATTGTGAAGCACATGAGCAGCTTCTCTATTTGCAACACTCTTGGTTCATGTGCAAACTCTCATTTACATATCTGCTGCAATCTGTTGTTTAGGACACCGTTTTCATTTCTCTATGTCATTGTTTTCTGAGTGAATCTTCAACTGTAATTTATTTTCTATCAATGTAGCCCCTTTTGTAAGAATCAAAATCAATGGAACTATTTTTTTTCCTTTTCTAAATATTATCTTTATAGTTGCAACCTCTATATTTCAGTGCCTCTGACCTTACTAATTTATATTCCACTGAATGTGTGAACATAAGGTTCGTCCGATCTATTCAGTGATGCGTCACTATGGACTGAAGCCAACTGCAGAAACCTTCAGATTCATGATAAATTTGTGCGTGAAGATGAAAGACGTATGTATCTAACACCATTGGGTGCTATCTTCAATTTCTTTGGAGTCTGAACTAATAACTGTGTAGATAAGTTAGCTTTATTATGTTTATCACAATGTCTCGTTATCCTTATCGACAAAGTATTCACTGGTTTTAGTTTGAAATTTCATGGTATTGTTTCCAACTTTCTATGTAATTAGAAGATGTCTTTGCAGGCCTTTGTTCCACCAATGAGTGCATGCCTCAGCTAATGTGAATATTCTAAAGTTTTAGTTCCTCAACCATAGATTCTTAGGAATCATTGTCATAGTTTAATTTATTGATTTTTTGTTTCACTTCTTATGATGACTATAAACTCTAAGAATTTCACTCTTGCTGATTCATAACACGCTTATTTCAGAGGCACATATTGAGTTGTGAGAAAATGTTAGTAGAATTTGTTCTTTTTGGGAATTGTCAAAACAAAAAAAAATGTTCATTTTGTGACAATCCTGGCGCCATTTTTCATCAGTTTTATTTTTTCTTTTATTGCCATTAATATGATAGGATATTGGAAATGATGGATTGTATTTTAGAAATTTTCATGCATATTTTGGTGTTTTATGTATCATGCGACTAGTTTTGACCTAGTGATCAGCCACTAATACTTCTTGATAAAATAATTTCTACGCTATCACTCTGAACAATGGCTGGATCCACAATTTGGGAAAACATTTACTATCCCATTAGTAAAACTTACACCTTTGCCAAAGAAAGAGACAAAAATATTTAGGGCCAAATAGTTATAGTTATAGCCTCTGAGCATTTTGCAATAAACTTTCAATTCCCCCCTTCTCCCTCTTTGCCTTTTGAGCTCCATTAGAAATTTGGTTTAAATTATGCCACTGCAGGAGTGAACCTTCTTGTGCTCAGTAAGCAAGGATCCACATCCTTGAATATTTATAAAACAATTTCTTAAGAAGTCCGTGGACTCTGATAAACTCTTGGTTTTATCAGGGCCCATAAGGTGAGCTGGTCTCAGAGAATGTTGTCCCACACTCTCTCATTTGGAAATCTGATTATTTTGGTCTCTCCAACTAGCTTAAGGAATGGTCATGGTGCACATTTGCCATAATATTCGAGCCCTATCATAGAGCATAACCATGAAAGAAACCAAACAAGTGGCATGGCACTAGCAACCCTAAAAGTTCTTGTCTGAAGAACAAATTGGCCCTCTCAAGGGGCCCATTGTTAAGTAGGTGGTCTATTGATGGTCAGCATTGTTAATGCCGTATGCCAACCAGCCAAATGCCGAGTCCTATGAGTAATAAAAGATAAAATTAGAGAGGATCCATACATCTATGATATGTGAATTGTAGCCTTATTAATGGCCAATGCCCCTAAATCGGCTCACTGTAGGAGGGCTAACAACATTTAGGAATGATCCTATGTCTGAGGCAAATCTTGTGCAAATGCATCTTTCTTTTGCACTTATCGTGTCAAAATTGTATTCCCAACTTCTAGGGCCATCTTCCTTAATTGTCGTCTATAAGTTTGAGGGAGTTAAACTCGACAAATTAAGATACGAAACCATGCCCACTATCGAATCTTTTAACCTCTTTCTATGTGGTCCAGGGTTAGGCCGCTGACAATTTCCCCTTCCTGTAGAGACATATTTACCCATTTTGTTTTCTGAATTGGAGACATCCACTTCGCAATTCAGTGCATGCAACAGAAGAACATGAGGAGTAGCTCTCGATAAAATAATCTTTTCTCTCAATCCACTTTCTTCGTCAAATTTTATCTGTTGAAAACTAGACTCAAAGCCACAACTCAACATCATGGTGTAAATCCCAATTAATGTTTTTCAGCAGGGAAATAAATAAGCGGCATTCATGTCATAGTAAAACAGATCTGACTGCAGCAATTGATGACTCTTCTCCAATAAAATAATATTTTCTCTTAGAGCCCATGGAATTTCTTTCTCAAATATTTTTTGTTAGAAAATAGACCCAAAATTGCAATAAAATAACTCAGTGTAGGTCTCAAACTACTCTGTTAAGAGGGAATATAAAATCATGACATTCATGTCACTTAAATAGTCGTTGTTGCAGAAAACAGCATTTGAGCATCCTTCAATAAAATAGCCGTATCTTTCAAACCACAAGGGTTTTCTTCATGAAATTATTTTTGATTAAAAGTAGATTCAATTTGGGTGAAGAACAATCAGATATTCCCCATAAATAAAAATATTTACTTGGTGGAAAAATTCATAGAACATAATATATAGTTCGTGGATTTTGCAGGATTAGAACTAGCACCCCTTAATGAAGAATCCATAACTCTCAATCCCCCACATGATCTCCCATTGAAATTTTGTAGGGAGATGCTACTCTTAAAAACACAAAATATCATTAGGTTATGCCCAAGAAAAATACCTCATCCTCTGGTTCATATCAAGGTGCCAAAACAGCACAAAAGTACCCTATCTGCAAAGTTTCTTTCAGTGTTGGAAACATGCAAATAATTCTTTTGGAGCTGTACCATTTGACCACAAAACCATTGGCTTTCAAGTTTCTGATTCAAAACTCACCAAGAACAGCAAAAACAATAGAAATATGGCTCTCAGATATCCAGCTCTGATACCAATGAAATTGGACAATGTGAACTAGCAGGGTTTATGTAGTTTAATTTTTTTTTTTTCCAAAACCTGCTAGAACACTTACATAATTCCAAAGATTACAATGAATACTCAATTAACCAACAAGAACTCAAATTTGGATTCTCACTTGCTGCCACTCTTACAACTCTTTATTTCATAACAAACAATTATATAAATATGAACTTGGGAACAAAAAACATAAAGTGCAGTAAAGGATTCCAATTGGACTTGATACGCCCCTCTCAGGATCTCCTCCACTGATGGCACATAGGATCAAGGTCTTTCTTAGATCTATGGGAATCCTTGGTTAGAAAACCTTCAATGCATATGACAACATGTGGACAAGCATGGACTTTCTCTACTTTATCTATGTGTGGGGCTAGCCCCCCTTAGCAATATGTCAAAGTGTCGGGCGGGCCCCCCTTCTAGATCTTAGAGAGAGTTTTAGTGATGGAGAGGAAGATAGAGAGATGAGAGCGAGGGTGGCGTGCCACCTTGAGGAGAGAGAGAGTTGTAGCTTATGGTGTGTAGAGGAATGATCCCTCATAGAGATTTGTTATAGATTTGTGGTTATGGTTAGGATTTCTAGGGTTTAGCCATTGTTATGAATTGATTTAGAGCATTGATCATGGGAGACCTATGGGGTGAGAGATCTTAGCCATACAATCTATAGTTCAACCGTCATGATCTTATGGAAGGTGTAGAATTTTATCCCTCAGCTTCCTTAAACTAATCCCATCAAATATGTAATGTAGAGAAAGCATAATACACTTTTTTCTGATAAAAGTTAACATTGTATTGCTGGCAAAGAGTTGGAGAGTGCTACAAGTAAGTGAGAGTCCGAGATCACCCTAAAGAAGGGTGACTCAATAAAAAATAACATGTACAGAAAGGGCTTATAGAGCGTCCTAATTACAACAATTTACATGAAGCTTTTGCAAAAATACATCGGGACAGAAAAACCAAAAAACGAGCTGTATTAAGTTGTGAGCCCCTGGTTCTAAGCAAAAATGGAGTCGGACCCGGGTAGCGCTTGTCCTTGGCCCTGACTTCTAGCACCCTCTTTCGCCTAGAGATCTGCGATGCCGTTGGACGTCCTCTATATATGCCTCCAGGAGATGTCCATATCCCTGCATATATGATCAATTTCGTCAAAAAGTGAGACTAAGTACCATGGTGGTCAGCTCGTTCTCCTTGCCCAGGAGATAACATTTTTTGAGTCTCCTTCTACTATCAGGTGAAGGCCCTAAGAAGGATTGAAGAGTTTTATGCCTATTAAAAGCGCAAGAGCTTTGGCATGATTGGAATCCTTTACGTCAATGTACTCTGAAAAGGTCAATAGGACGTTGCTTAGATGGTCGTGGAAGAGCCCCCCAGCCCCTGCTAGGCCAGGGTTCCCTATGGAGCACCCATCGAAATTCAGTTTGATCCATCCTTGGGGTGGTGGTTGCTAGTTAAAAGGTCTGGTCACCGCTCTCGGTTGGTGGTGAAGGACATTAATCCATTAGGTGAGGAAAAAACTTCTTGGGATCCCTGAAAAAACCTTGTGGTTGAAAGCCCAAAAGGTAACTAGAGAGATAATCTTGTGAAGGAGAGCTGGTGTGTGAAGTTTAAAGCCTTGGAAGATTCTAAGGTTTCTTTCCAACCAAGTGGACCATATGGTTGCTGCAATAGTTGCCTTCCATAACAACCTTCCTGCCTTCAGCCAACATGAGTCGAGATCGTAAGAGATCAAAGCCTTGACCGAAGGGGGGTGACCCATTGAATGTTAAAAAGTTGCAACACTTGACCCCAGAGGTCAAAAGTATACTGACAGTGGATGAACAAATGTTGGTTCGACTCCTCCTCACATAAGCATAAGGCACACCTATTGGGGATCGGGATCCCTCTCTTTTGAAGTTGGTCCACTGTGAGAGCCCTATGGGAGCATGCAAGCCAGTTGAAAGTTTGGACTTTTGGTGGAGCAATGGTGGCCCAAACTTTGGATTGGATGTTGTTGGATTTGTCGGGAAAGTTGGGGGCACAATTAAGCTTTTGTAGAAGGATGCTATCAAAAAGATACCAGAGGGGGCTAGCGTCCTGATGATAGCATCACTTCGTTGAGGCGAGAGGAAGTGGGAGTGGAGAGAGGTCGAGAGTGACTGAAAATGGTTGGTTTCCTCTACAGTAAGATTCCTTCGGAAGGAAGGGTTCCATGCTCTACGCCCCATACATCTCAAAAATACATTTATTAATAGGCCCGCATTTCTACATATGCGGGCTTGGCCGCATAGAAACCGGGTCCTTTATGTAAAGAGTGTTTATAAATATCTAAATTTTTAATATGATTAATATTTTAACAGCATTTGTGAAGCAAATTTATTGTGTGTGTGTGTTTATA